GCATCTTTCTAACCAGAGAAGTGATAAACCTTTACAACGAAAACTACAAAACAATGCTTAAAGAAATCAAAGAGGACACAAACAAGTGGAAAATATTCCATGCTTATGAATTAGAAGAATCAATGTTGTTAAGATGCCCATGCTATCCAAGGCAATCTACAGATTTAGCATAATATCCATTGAATTACTATCATCATTCTCCTCAAACCTGGAAACAACAATACAGAAATTAATATGGAAACAAAAAAGACTACAAATAGCCAAAACAATCCTCAGCGAAAGAAACAAAGCAGAGGTGTCACACTTACAGACTTTAAACTTTATTATAAGGCTGCAATAATCAAAACAGCCTGGTATTGGTACAAGAACAGGCATATAGACCAATGGAACAGAATAGAGATTTCAGAAGCAAGACCTCAATTTCTTAACCAACTCACCTTCGACAAAGCTTCCACCAACAACCACTGGGGAGAGGAAAACCCATTCAGTAAACGGTGCTGGGAAAACTGCCTGACCATATGCAGAAGAATGAAACAGGACCCCTACCTATCACCATACACAAAAATCGACTCCGAATGGATCAAAGACCTAAATGTAAAACTTCAAACTATAAGAATCTTAGAAAATACAGGAGACACCCTTACAGAAATTGGAATAGGCAACCAGTTCCTGGTCAAAATCCCAGATGCCCAATGCCATCAGAGATAAGATAGACAAGTGGGACCTCATTAAACTGAAATACTTCTGCAAAGCAAAATAAACTATCAAGAGAGCTGGAAGTCAGCCCACAGAATGGGAAAAAATATTTGCCAATTGTATATCTGACAAAGACCTAATATCCAGGATCTATGAGGAACTCAAACATGTCAAAAAGCCGAACAACAACAAACAGCCCCACTGAAAAGTGGGCAAGGCCAGATGTGGTGACTCAAGCCTGTAATCCCAGCACTTTGGGAGGCTGAGGCCCGCGGGTTCACAACCAGCCTGGGCAACCTGGTGAGACCATGTCTCTACAATAAGTAATTAAAAAAAAAAAATTGGCTGGACCTGGTAGCACATGCCTGTAGTTCCTGCTACTTGAAAGGCTGAGGCGGAAGGATCGCAGGAGCCTATCAGGATGACGCTGGGGTGGCCATGAGCAGGCCACTGCACTCCAACTTGGGCGAGGGAGTGAGACTCCAACTCAGGAAAAAAAAAAGGTGGCAGGAGACATGAACAGACACTTTTCAAAAGTAGATATACAGGCAGCCAACAGATACGTGATAAAATGCTCAGCCTCACTAATCAGAGAAATGTAAATCAAAACCACATTGAGATACCACCTAACTCCAGTAAGAATAACCATCATTAATAAAACAAAAAACAAAAAACAGATGCTGGTGATGATGTGGAGAATAGGGAACACTTTTACACTGTTGGTAGGAGTGCAAACTAATTCAACCTCTATGGAAAACAGTGTGGTAATTTCTACAAGAACTAGAAATTGACCTTCCATATGACCAGCAATTCCCCTTCTGGGAATATATCTGGAGGAACTCAAATCCTTCTACAAAAAAGATAACGCATGTTTATTGCAGCACTATTCACAATAGCAAAAACACGGAACCAACCATGCTGCTTATCGAAAGTGGATAACATGAATAAAAATGTGGTACATATACACGATGGAATATTATACAGCCATAAAGAAAGACAAAATTATGGACTTTGCAGTACCTTGGATGAATTTGGAGTCTATCATACTTAGAGATCTATCACAGAAGCAAAGACATAATTATCACATGTTCTCACTCATAAGTGGGCCCTGAACACCTATCATATTACTACAGTAAAGGGATTGATGTAGCAGGACACTGCCAGGGGAGGCGAGAGCACACAAGGGTGCCTGATCCTAATCCAAGGGAAGTGAGGTCCAATGGGAGGCCCAAAACTTCACCTGAAACCACTTATGTACTCAATCCTGACTTGTGCCCCACAACTTTAAAATTAAAAAAAAACAGGTAGAAGAGAGGGAGGAAATAAGAAATAAATGGAACAAAGAAAACAACTAGAAAAATGCTGTATTTTAAATTCAGTCATATAAATAAAATGATCTAAATATACCATCTAAAAGACAAAAGTGATAATATTGGATAAAAGTGTATGATGAAACTGTAGTTTCTTATAGAAGTCTATTTTAAGTATAAAAACAGTTTAAAAGTAAAAGAATGGAAAGCAATATCTTATGCCAGCATTCTGCAAGTTCTAGTTTCTTCATATCCTTGCCTACACTTGGTATGGCCTATTTTTCATTTTAGTTATTCTAGTGGATATTTAGTGTGTTTCTTTGTATTCCCTGATCACAAAAAATTCAATACCATTTCATATTTTTGATAACCATTTGTTATTTTGTGAATCATCTGTTAAAACTTTGAGTTTTTATTTTGTGATCGTTTTTTCCAATATGTTGTCTTTTTCTTATAGATTTGTAGTTCTTTATATATTATGGATAAAATTTGTTTTTTCTTGTCTCTGCTAGCTTTTACTCTTAGTGGCTTTCCTTATTAGGTGCTTGGTGATTTTTTTATTATAAGCTCATTGCTTGGTCTCAATCTGTGAGAAGTCTATCAATCTAAATATGTTAAGATTTCCTTCAGAGAGGATTTCCTTTGCTTCTCATGGTATCCAGAGAATGCCATTGGGTTAGAACTCCTTCAGCTTCCCCTTGAGGGTCAGGGCTCAGTAAAGGTTCAGATAGATTATTTTCACCTTGTTGCTGCCCCAAGAGTTAAGAGTTAATATCTGCCCTCAGGGCAGTTCCAGACCCTAGCTTTCTGCTTCTTCAACCACAGCTCCTGGTTTTTATTTATGTTTCTCCTTTTGGAAAAAAATATTAGATATTAGTAATAATGCCAGAAATGGAAGACTATTTGCTTCACTATTTTCCACATTAAATACAGCTTAAAATAATTTTTAAAAATTCCTCAAAGTCAGTGCTGATTTTGGCAATACATTTTCAGATTATATTTATAATCATCAAACTTCTGTACTATTAGTACAAATTTTTGACTGTTCTATAAGGTTTATTGTTTCTATTGTCAGTCTGAGCTTGTTTTAAAATGGACCAGAATATGCCAACCCCAAATTATGTCACATTGTCAAGGATTATTTTGAACTGAAACTTATTATTGAACTGAAGGCAATTGAGACTTAACAGGTGCAGGAAGAGTTCTCAGCCCTTTTAGGCTATGTCTGCCTAAAAATAAGGCACAGATTACCATTTGGGGAAGGTGCCCTCCTTATATCAGGTAGAGAGGAGCTGTTGTTACTATTGAAGACAGAGCCAACAGCAAGATGAGTGAGTATACATAAACAGACTTTGATAAAAGATAAATAAAAAATTCCTTAGCTTTCATTGCTTAGGCAATATATTTCCATACATCCTAGTCACTTGAAGCCTGATAAAAAGCAAAAAGCAAAAATGCAAAAGATTAGTATAAACCTTTAACTGGATTTTTATAGAATCATTTCAAAGTTAACTTCTTATAGTGGTAACAGAGAGGAGACTGCCTTATGCTAGCTCAGGTACCCCGCTTGATTGGTTGCTGTGGATCTCCATTTTTTTGGAAAATTGGCCTATTTTAAAGACAGAGTACATGACTCCTTGCTTCGGAAACCCCGTTGTGGTTTGATTATTTGTCTCCTATAAGCTTTAAAACAAGTCCAAACTTTTTTCTTTCATTAAGAAGGTAAATAGGCTGGGCTTGGTGGCTCAGCCTGTAATCTCAGCGCTTTGGGAGGCCAAGGTGAGTGGATTGCCTGAGCCCGTGGGTTCGAGACCCGCCTGGGCAACTTGGCGAGACCTCATCCCTCTACAATAAATAAAAAAAAAATTAGCCGGGCATGGTAGTGCATGCCTGTAGTTCCAGCTACTTGGAAGGCTGAGGCGGAAGGATAGCCGGAGCCCAGCAAGTCGAGGCTGTGGTGGCTGGGAGCGGCCACTGCACTCCAGTCTGGGTGACAGAGTGAGACTCCAACTCAAAAAAAAAAATAAAAGGGTAAATAAACCTGAGCCAAACCTCTTCAATTCTAACCAACCTATTTTTTTGTGGTCCTCAATACATGCTAATATTAACAAAAATGATGTTCTGTTTTCCTTTAAAATTTTTTTAAATATTCAAAAGATTATAAAGTTTTAATTGGGTAAAAAAAATTGATCTTGCTTTCCTGCTCCCAGTTAAAATATATTTTAATTATGCACATGTATTGTAGATTTTATAATTAAAATTAAACTGTAGTTAGGGTCAGGGGTAAAAAAATTTATTTTTATTTTTATTTCAAAAACTTTAGGGGTTACAGATAGTTTTGTACTGGGCTTTAAGCATACCCACCAACCCCATCTGTGCACATTGTACCCTATAGTTGCAAAGACATAGGGAATTATATAATAGACACTGGAGACTCAGAAAGGGGAGGAAAGGAAGGGGTGGAAGGCCAAAAAAATTACTTATTTTGATTAATTATTATTTTTTTTTTAGTCAGAGTCTCACTCTGTTGTCCAGGTTGGAGTGCAGTGGCACAATCACAGCCACCACAGCCTCCATCTGCTGGGCTCAGGCAATGCTTCCATCTCAGCCTTTTAAGTAGCTGGAGCCACAGGTGTGTGCCACCACACCCTGCTAATTTTTTTATTTATTGCAGAGATGAGGTCTTGCCAAGTTGCCCAGGCTGGGGTGGAACCCCTGGACCTAGGTAGTCCTCTCAACCTTCACCTCCCAAAGTGCTGGGACTACAGGCATGAACCACCATGCCTGGCCTCACTTATTTTCTTTATTGAAGCTTTTCCTTCAAAATTTGATATAGTCCTTATAGAATTGGAGAGAATTAAAATTTGCAAATTCTTTAGTTTTAACTTGAAATTCTGGTTATAGAAGCTACAAACATGCCACTCTCTGTGCAATTAAAAAATTATAAAACATTTTACTGTTGAACTAACAGGGCTGATTTTTCTTTTAAAATAGGCTTAAGAAAGAATTGGAACTTTATAAGGAAGATGACATGGAAAGTGTTTATGAAACTCTCCAAACAGAAATAGAATTTTTGGAGTTGGTAAGCCATCATTGATTGTTATATTATTCTGTTCAACATTATTTTACCTGCTAGTAAGAATGGCTTTACTGGTATACATATCATTGAACTACTGTTTTGTACTGCTACCCCCCCAAAAAAGGTAATAATAAGCATGACTAAGGTCAAGATATTAATCTGTGAAATGTTTTGAGTTCCTGGAGAGTTAGGGTGCTACATGAAGCAAATTATACTCAAAGAGATTATGTACAATTTCAAACTAAGGTAAAAAAAACTCGGATCTGACCTCACATCATTTCCTTGACTGAGACTGTTATTAGAGGATTAATACACTGAAGGAGTTTAACTATCCTAATGCTTTAAAAGCTTTTTGTTTTTGATAGACGTGAATTATACTTTTATTATATTTGATCCTAAAACTTTCGTAATACATGTTTTTATGATCTCAAAAACCTTGGATTCAATTATTGAAAACTTATTTTCAATTGTGTGGGAGCACTTTCTCTAACCTCTTACTTTAGTTGTTTATAAAATGAACACTATATTTTCCATGCTCTATTTTAATAGGAGACATGCATAGCTTTATAATATCTTAAAATAGTTTTGATTTGATACATTGCTTTTTGTTTCATATTTATTTTTTGTAAACATTTTCTTGTTCAAAAATGTTTTAATAGGTTATGTTTGAATTTATATTTTTAATAAAAGCTTTCAAAAATATAATCCAGAAATGCCCAGAGTTCTTGTACTAGGCAGGCTGTGGTGGCTCACACCCATAATCCCATCATTTTGGGAGGCCTAGATGAGAGGATTGCCTGAGCTCACGGGTTCAAGACTAGCCTGGGCAACTTGGCAAGACCTCATCTCTATAATAAATCAAGAAAAATAAGCTGGGAATGGTGGTACGTGCCTGTGGTTCCAGCTAGTTGGAAGGCTGAGGCAGAAAGATCACCTAAGCCCAGCAGGTCAAGGATGTGGTGGCCCTAAGTGTGCCACTGCACTCCAGCATGAGCAGCCACTGCACTCCAGCATGACCAACTCAAAAAAAAAAATATTGTTGTGATAGATTTAGGTAAATTTTATGTAATTCCTTTATTAAGAATTTAGATTTCCTTATGAATAATTACTGTATGTTTTCTTTTCAGACATTGGCACAGAAAGATCTTCAGGAAAATCAGTAACTTACAGAAAATTGATCAACCATCTGAGCCTTGATCAAAGCATCTTAGAATCAGATCTTTGTGACAGATACATGTACCCATTACAACAGATTCTTATGGAAAGCATGAAGTTTAAAATGGTCAAAGTTGTTGATATCTAGAATTGGTTTATTAGCACTTTAAAATAATGTTTTATTTTATTTACTAGAACTTTCCGGGTTATTGTGTGGTTTGCTTTTGTTTCTAAAGAAAAAGCATGGAAAAGAAGTAGGTATCATGTTGCCAGACTTCTTATATCTCCCTCCCTGACCCTTTAGCTGATCTGTTCTTTCTAATCTATATTTTTCATGCTTTATTGTAGCTTACCTTGGATCCAATCAAACACAGATAGGAAGAAATGCTCAGATTATTGACCCAATTTTGTTGGTGTCATTTCCACTAACAAAACTACTTATTTTCATTTTAATTATTTTCTAGTCATAAAATGTCTGTTGACGGAGGTCCTCTGAGGCCCTCATCTGCAAAAGCCAGTTTTCTCCACTTTTTGCTGTATGTCTATAAAGTCTGGGGCACCTGTAGCCCTTTTCTAGTAGTTTGTGCCTACCAATTTTCTTTCTAATGCCAGTGTTGTTTAGAATGAAGTAAATTATCCACTGGGGGGTGGTACATAATCTCCTTACAGCCATCAGGATTCATTTTCTCTGGTGGCCTAAAATATTGCAACTGGAAACAGTATTCTTATGGTTGGATCAAACTTGGTATTGCTACCAAATTTCCAACACCACTTATCTCTCCACTGTTACCACTCTTGACTAGACAAAAAGTCTGTTGTCTGAAAGCATATTGAAACTCTACAAAAAGGTGCTAGATTAGGGTAGATCAGGTAAGGGAACAAAACTTACTTGAGTGCTAATGTTAGAACCACTTTTCTTTTGTGGTTGTAGTTGAGTTAGTTTAATGTCAAATATGAAATGCTTACAAATTCTTATACTTGCTGGTATTAAAGTACAGTATTTAGGTGTAACTAAGTCTCACAACAGAATCTGAGCAAGTCTCACTTCAGAGAAAGTCATATTTTGACATAGCTTTTTTGTATATGCTGTTTAACAACCTTGTTTTTTAAAAATTGGTGAAGTTCAAACACTCTCCTTTGGGATGAGCAGCAATTGCAGTCTGTTTAAATAATTTGCATTTTCAGAGTAATTTCTATTTTTATTTTTAAATATTTAAATTAATAAATTATTTTTGCTTAAGAAGTAAAGATTAATGATGGCAGGGAATTGCCATCTATTTTATATGTAAACACAGAATGGGAAATAGTTATTGAGATTAGTCATGATTTCAGCTCTATCTTATTTTAGTCCATTTATCTACCCACAGTCTGAGTCTTGTGAATCTCTATTATTATCTGTATAGCATATTATTAATATGCAGATTGAGTTTGCACATAAAGCCCTTTTTCACTTACCAGTAATTTTTGTTCACTATTGGGTTTGTAGCTAAAATATTAATGAAAATCAGAGATCTGCCCACCTATTTGTATTACTAATATACAATGCCATATAAGCAGAATAAACTATTACTGATACAACTGTTCTTTCACATGTGTGTCATATAAAATATCTAGATTAAATATTCAGAAATAGAATCAGGGTTCATGTTAATTGAATTTGAGAAAAAAATGGAGGATTCAGTATTTTCATTATTTCAAATTACTTAAAATGCATAACTTAAGATTTAAACTAATTTTCATATAATCAAATGGATGACTGTTTCAACACTGCATGGTAGAGTAATAGGAAGCACTAACCATATGGTACCAGTCAAAATATCTGGAACTATTAGAATCAATGTAATTAATGGAATAAGCTCGCTGAAACAAAGGGAATACAGCAATCAGAAATCACAATATATGAAGTTAAACTGTGCCATCAATATAAAATATTAGAAGATTAGACCTGTTTTTAGGGAGTTTTTTTGTTTTTTAAGAATTAGCATGCTGCTCATGCCTATAATCCCAGCACTTTGGGAGGCCGAGGCAAGAGAATTGCCTAAGCCCAGGGGTTCGAGACCAGCCTGGGCAACTTAGTGAGACCTCGTCTCTACAATAAATCAAGAAAAATTTGTTGGGTATGGTGGCGCATGCCTATAGTTCCAGTTACGTGGAAGGCTGAGGTGGAAGTATCGCCTGAGCCCAGCAGGCTGCGGTGGCCATGAATGTACTACTGCACTCCAGCCTGGTGACAGAGTGAAACTCCAACTCAAAAAAAAGAAAAAAAAGAATTAGTATGCCATAAAACTTTTAAGTAGGAAAATTAACTGAATTTATCTGGGTAAAAATAGATTTGACTGAATTTAATTACTCTAGATATAAGACTGGTTATACAGAAGAACAATTTTTAAATGAATATCTATTCATTAAGTAAATTCATTAAATTTGTGATATACTTAGTAATAACCAAAACACAAACTAACCCAAAGTAACATTTGTATTGCTCTGAGGCTCGTGGCCTGGCCACCATAGTTCTTTAATATAGCAGAAGTTCTTTCAGAAGCAACTTTCCAATTCTCAGTTCTCCATTGGGGATAATATTAGAATATATAGATAGTTTGGTGCATATTTTTTTCTGTTGATTAATGGAGCTGTTCTGCTACCGGAAAACAGCAACAAAATTATAGGATATGGAGCATGACCACTGGCCTAGATATTCCTTTCTTCCTTCCCTACCCTAATTATTGAAATAGGAGGAAAAAGCAAATAAAAAGAAAAGCTTTAAGGTATATATGGTTTGTAAGATTTTTATATTATCATTGTTTTGTCAATAGTAATATTTTCTTCTGTAAAGGAAACAAAAATTAAGGAACACTTTGCCTGTCTGCTTTTTTTTCTTGGAACTTGAACAACTATGATGAGATTCTGAAAGTCTAAGATAAGGTTGAGGTCATTGTATTATAATGAATTGGAATCTAGAAATGCCCTAAAACAGAGTCAGTTGGCATTGGTGATTTTTTGTAGAGTGGAGATTATATTGTGAAAAATTCATTGAGTCCTTTATCAAAAAGTCAAGTAGCAGTTCAGCCGGCTAGCTGCGGAGGGACAGACAGCATGCAGTGGACGGGCCTTGTTCTAAGCTTTTGTTGAGGACAAAGTCTCTTTCTGTTTTATAACAATCAATCACACATAAGTGTGTCACACTATTGTGAATAAATTATTCATAATAATGAATATCCAAGAAAACAGTAGCAGTTCAGTGGTGACATGATTAGAAATAAATATGAGACAGTTTTAACTCTGGACGTACCGAGGTGGTATTCTTTCATTCATATATTTATTTATAGTATAAAATTTGAAATTTGAAGTTGTTCAATATACCAAAAAGTATTTTAACATTTGAAGCTTATCTATTTTATTTCAAGTTATTTATTTATTTTTTTTGAGTTGGAGTCTCACTCTATCACCCAGACTGGAGTGCAGTGGCCACTCCCGGCCACCGCAGCCTTGACCTGCTGGGCTCCGGCGATCCTTCCGCCTCAGCCTTCCAAGTAGCTGGAATTACAGGCACGCGCTACCACGCCCGGCTGATTTTTTGATTTATTGTAGAGATGAGGTCTCACCACCCAGGCGGGTCTTGAACCCGCGGGCTCAGGCAATCCACTCACCTCAGCCTCCCAAAGGCGCGAGATTACAGGCTGAGCCACCGATCCTGGCGAAGCTTATCTATTTTAGGTGAACTTTTACATTTCCTTTTTTACCATCTTCTCTCCTTTGTCATCCTGAAAAACTTTAGTGAAGAAAATGTTTGCCTCTCAGAATCTAGTTCAGAACATTTTCTATCAAGGGAATTTTTTTCAGGATGTGAACTAAAAATAAAAAATATTTTTTTGTCATTAGCCTGAAGCAGGGATTAAGTATTGGAGTTTTGTGGCTCTTTTATCTTAAGACAACAGACTCTTTTTTAAACATAAGAATGGAAAGGATGAAGTTACCTTTGAAAATGTTTGAGGGCCAGCAGTTTGAGTGGCTCAAGTCTGTAATCCCAGCACTTCGGGAGGCTGAGGCGAGAGGATTGCCTGAGCCCAGGGGTTTGAGATCTGCCTAGGCAACTTGGTGAGACCTTTTCTCTACAATAAATCAAGAAAAATTAGCTGGGCGTGGTGGCACTCTCCTATAGTTGGAAGGCTGAGGCAGAAGGATCACCTGAGCCCAGCAAGTCGAGGTTGCAGTGGCCGTGAGCATGCCATTGCACTCCAGCCTGGGCAACAGCCCATCAAAGCTGGACTGGATTTTAAAAATGTGGTACATATACACAATGGAATATTGTACAGCCATAAAGAAGGACAAACACATGGACTTCGCAGCAATTGGATGGATTTAGAATCTATCATACTTAGTGATCTATAACAGAAACAAAGAACAGAGTATCATATGTTCTCTTTCATAGTGGACCTTGAACAATTATAATACTATAAGAAAGGGATTGGCAGTAGTGGGAAACTGCCAGGGGTAACGGGGTGGGATTGGCAGTTGAGGGAAACTGCCAGGGGAGGGAGGGGCACACACCTCATCAACAAGGGTACCTGCATAACGAACATTTGTATACCTAACCCTGAATTGAACCCCACATCTTCAAAATAAAAATAAAATAATTAAAAATGTTTGAGGTAGGAATTTCAGCGCATTTGTGCTCTCTAAACATTTTATTTAATTTAAGTTTTTTCTTGGTTTGCTAATGGTCAAATCAGCATAGCAGTGAAGAATCTTTATTTTACTGACATTTGACAAAAGGATATTGTCGAGACAGCATTGATTACTACATGAAGGAAATAAAGTAGTAACTTTCCTTTGCTTTATAAGGAAGAATCAGGACTTTTGTTTGTTGTTTATTGTAGGAAGGTCACATTTATTAAACATAAGGCGAAATTTTGCAGGTTAATGCATGTAGTAGAGCATATACTTTGATTGGAGGTAAAAAAATTATAACAGAGAAACCCACGACTGATGAATTCAGATGTCTGGAAAAATAAAGAATAGGTTAAAAACATGTGAGATTAATAACTGACTGACATAAGTAGCTCTCCCAAACAAGGCTCATTGAATGGGCGAAATGATCTCATTTTTTTCTTGCAATCAGAAAAACTACACTACTTGAATGATTCTAAGTTAATTAGTTTCATTCTTGTAATAAATTGTCATTCTGGTTAGTTGGTAAATAAAACCCTGTTAAAATAAAATCCTCTTAATCTACATTTAATAGATGCAAATGCAATTACTAATGAATATTTCTGGATATGGCTTTGTGATTACTGAGATAAAGTATTTGCAAATTCATGCCACCATTAAA